TGGACGAGGGGCGAAACAGAGAGGGATGGAGGGACGGAGTGAGAGAGAGAAAAAAGAGGGGGGGGGGGGGGGGGGGGGGGGACAGAAAGAAGGGAAGGTACATGGAGGAAATGGAGCCGGGAGGGAAAAGAGGGAGAGGAAAGACAGAGTGTGTGTGTGTGTGTGTGTGTGTGTGTGTGTGTGTGTGTGTGTGTGTGTGTGTGCGCGCGCGCGCGCGTTACGTTACGTTACGTTGTGTGGTGTAAACCATGGGTGCTGGTTGATGGATGGATCTAGGTTCTGAAAAGCCACAGCTGCCCCGCTCTTCCTAGAAAAAGATCCGCGAGGAAAAGTGGCAGTATGCGGTTCAAGCATCTAGCATCCTCTTACTATTTCTGACCGGCATGCTGCAGGAGCCGTCAGAATGCCCTCCGCCAGAGCATGTGCCTGCGTGTATTATTAAGTTTGTGCCTATGCATAATAAAAAATGAAAACGCAAAGGTTCTTTTTTTGTTTTACTTTAATTAGCCCTGTAAATATCTGTGTGTGTGTGTGAGTGAGCGGCACTGCGCTGCACATTCGTCTGTTTTCAATCAGTCTCTTACACAGCAAAGCATAATTCTGCTCTCTGTCACAGCTGCCAACTAAACGCAGTAAATGTATATTGTGCTGTATTCACTATAAACGAGGTAAAGAGCGGCGTGTTTTTGCTATAACCCAAATTTAAAGAAAACCTGTATATCGAATGTGAAAGTGTGTTTTATGAATCAGTTCAGTGATCAACTTCCATGTAAATGATTCATTCAAAAACAGACTAGTGTGGTTTTTGTTTTATGGAATCTGAGTGAACGGCTCCAACCTCCGGATCCGAACAGTGAAGCAAATGCTGAAGAGCCTAAAGCTGCATTCTCTCTCCTGACCAGCAGGGGGCGACTCCTCTGGTTGTATAGAAGTCTATGAGAAAATGACTCTACTTCTCTCTTGATTTATTACCTCAGTAAACATTGTAAACATGAGTTTATGGTCTCAATCTCTAGTTTCAAGTCTTCTTCAATACAGCATGATGTTCATTTAGTACATTATGGTCCATTTAGAGTCAAACAGACCATAAAGCAGGGGATGCTCCGGTCTGGGAGTTGTCGTTGTTTTCGTCTTATAACTTTAACCCTTTCACAGTGAGTTTTCGCTTCATGAAAGTTAATTGAAACATTTCGGTCGCCCTAAAAATGTCTTATTCAGTGTTCGGCTGTAACTTCGCCCTCTCCTCACTTTTGGTTGCAAAAATACAAGATGGCGACCCGTAGTCCACAAACCACTGGGTGACTTTGATGTTACACAGATATTATCGACCTGGTATTATTTTAGGGAAAAGATTCATTTTCAAAGCCGCTGTTGTGGATTCCTTGAATATCAATCACGTAAGAATGTTTTTAAACAGAATGTTGTTGTGGAAGGACATAGTGCAAGTAAAAATACTAACAACATTGGCAGCTGAAGGCTGACTCAGTGATCGGTCCGTCACAGAGCCATGTGTATTAAAAGCAGGGTACACATCAGTACTGGTACCCAAAAACAATACTTTAAAATACTTTCCTTTCCTCATACCTGAGGAAAATAAAACCCTTTAACAAAAAAAATCAAAGCGTTAAACAAGCAGCTGTCCAAGAACTAAATAATAAAATACAGTCTGAAACCGGCGAAGATGATGCTTCAAATCAGTACAGAGCAAGTAAACAACGCGATGAATCCCTCTCCCACCCCACCCCCGTCACAGCGACCAGCAGCTACTGATTGAAACCTCGCGCACCACAGATAAATAAATCGGCCAACGACACTGGACACAAACACACATGCATGTTGAGCACAGGAACATATTAAACACAACATGCACACACAGACTTCTCCTGCGATGCCCCACGCCGCGTTCATGGTCTAAGGCCTCCTCTCGTGTCTTTTCTTCCAGAGAAAATAATAAACAGCGCAATCTTATTGCAGCCCCTCGGTGAACAACATCCATTCCAGCGTGAACGCAGTGTCCCTTGTTCCCATCCCCCCACCCCCACCCTGTCGCTGCCTCTAGAAGGTGAAGAAGTACAAAGGAAGGGATCAGAGCTTTTCCGATTCTTCTCTGGTTATTAACTACCATTTGTCCCCTCAGAGGGGCCGTCCCTCCCATTAACCCATCTGATGCTCTTTTCTCATGGAAATCAGCCTGTAGCCGCCGCCGCCAGTGCCGCCGCCTCTGCTGCCACTACCAACCGCTGCCCGCAGAGGCGCAAGGGATTGTGGGGGACCTTCAGAGGAGGAGACCTCCCATTCAGCTTGAAAACAGCTCTCTCTCGCTCTCGCTCTCTCTCGCTCTCTCTCTCTCTCTGTCTCTCTCTCTCTCTCTCTCTGTCCATCTCTCTCTCTCTCTCTCTCTCTCTCTCTCTCTCTCTCTCTCTCTCTGTCTCTCTCACAAAAGGCATAACATGAAACGTGCTGCCTCCGACCACGGGGGCATGGAAGTAATGGCAGTGCAGGGCGGTTAATGAGAAGAAGCTGGCGGAGGCGGCAGAACATACTTTTGGGGAGCCGGAGCTCGGAGCAGCGGCAACCGTCGGGTTAACGGATAAACGTCGGGTTAACGGATAAACGTCGGGTTAACGGATAAAGCCGACGGATAAAGACAAAATATTAAAAGCGGGAATGGTGCGGGTTAATTCCTGAGCTGTTTAGCGACTGGCTACAACTCCAGTGGGCCAAACATGATTTATTTTTTTTAAGAAATAAACGAATATGGCTTGAGCATATATTGTTTTTTAAAGGCACATCTTAGTTTAAACACTAGATGTCAAATACATCTGGTGAAATCATCTGTCTTAACCTCTTGGCACAAATAAACAAAGACATTTGACCATTTCTGCCTGTTGTGTTTGTTACATCCTAATATTAGACTTACAGGGTCTTGTCTGTCATTTAACTTAACGTTTCTACAGACTGTACACACAACATCAGAATATTTCTTCTTACTATTTTAGGCCATGCACTGTATTAGTTTGAAAGTATTGAATTCATTCAGATTCAGAAATGCTTTCTGTAATATGTGGGCACAGCAGTTAACTACTGCAATGTCTAAAGTGAAACTGTTTAGTGGTATTGTGTACTTGTTTTTGATAGAAAATGAATTGTGTGTTTTCTGGTGCAGAAACTCTGATTTTCTTGCAGCGTATCTGGTAGAAAGCTGCACTTATTAATTATTGTTTAACCCGTGACTCCTTATACTTAAAAAAATAGTTTGGCCACCCCTGACTTTTGACATTTTAGTCCAATGTTTATTGAATAAAGAACTAATTTATCTACTTTGTCATTTATTCTTGTATTCCTCACCACTATAGTCAAACATACTTAAACCAATCCCCCCTCTATGAGACTATTACTACCAATTACACAAGCTATAAACAGGTGCACCAGAATAACAACAATAAGGTTCTTAACCCCCCCCGGTGGATCGGCTCCATCGCTAGTGGGGCTGGTCATAGCAGGAGAGTGGCAAACATCACAACACACATGGGACTGGCAGCAACAAAGCCATTGTCTCGTGACAGACCCACTTCCATTTCCTTATTAAGTAGCTGGAGGCCTTGATGGAGCGCGCAGCTCGTCTCTTGAAGAGGAGGGAAGTAACGCAGCTAGTCATCAGTCTTATCTATATATCCATATATATCATAAAGGTTGCAGCCGTATAACAACTGCTGCTTTATCTTCCACCAAATCACCAGTTACTTCCTCTTCTTTTCTAAAAGTTATTATTATTATTGAGGATAATTACAGTGAATCCCTGTCTATATAGAGCGCCAGTGAAACCAGGCAGAGAAGTTCATTCTCTACTTAGAAATAAAAAATAAATAAAGAGATCATCATCTTAAATTGCCGTTAATGGCGTGACGAGTCAGGCGGACGTTGGACGTCCTCTCGAGGAAGGCAAGTGCAGGTAGACGCTGGAGCCGAAGCGACCGATTAATCGATCGGTCTGCCGATTAATTGTTTGTCATATTTGAAGCGGGACGACGTGATGATGGACGACATGAAACTGTGGACATCCCCACACACGTGTACCACATGCAGAGCACAGGATGTCCCCCACGGGACACTGCGAGGACAACAGCAAATAACAACAACAACACTGCGGGAGCAACACGGTGACAGCAGGCAACAAACAAAAAAACAACAACTTTATGTCTCTGCAACATGTTTTCGACCATTTCCACACTCCTGACCCGATAGCATAGCCAAGAGTAGCAGCCAAGGCAGCCTTCAATAACAAGTGCATGAGTGGAACCCCACATTCTGACCCCCTCCCCCTCCCCTCACTTTGATGGGGGGGGGGGGGGGTCTTGGATGTTATTTGTCGCTTCCAAGGTAAAAAAAAAAAAAAAGCACACTCTCTCCCTCACAGAAGACACATGCAGGATGCAGGGGCCTGAGTAGCATCCAGCCTGCAGCGACTTGATTTTTTTTAAACGGGGGGGGGGGGGGGGGTGCTTAAAACTCACCAGATCGCCCTTCAAAAAAAACAAAAAACAATGCACGGAACACGAGACGGTCAACGGCGAGAGGGGGGACGCTGGACAAAGTGCACCGCGTTACAACAACTTCACACGATCGCATTTGCAACATATTTACCAACCCGACCCCCCCTCCCCTAAAAAGAAAAAGAAGAAGAAGCCTCGATGGGCAGAGGAGGCGATCGCGTAATTAACAATTAAATACCCAGAGATCCCTCTCCACGCTGCCGCGAAAGTACGCAGGGATTACGCAAAACAAGTCCCGACAACGCGATAGCTAGCAAACGACGCGTTCACAACAATTCGAGCGTCGCGCACGTCAGCGCGAGGCTGGTATAAAAAAAAAAGTTGTTAAAAAAAAAAGTTGTTTTCAAAGGCGACACATGCAAACAGCAGAGCGTGCAGCCACATTACGGCTTCTTACCGAGAGACAGGGCGACAGATGGGGGGACGAAACGAGCAGTTTTTACCCACCTAGAAAGTTTCCAGCACCGCATTAGTCAATTTCACATGGAGCCCCGGTAACCTTCCATCTCGGACCGGACCAGACACCCACCGTGGGAGAGCCCCGCGCCGCAGCTCCACCGCTCTTCTTCTCCCCCCTTCGATCCGTCGTTTCGTTCTTATTTTCTCGATTTGTTTTTGTCTTCCACCCCCCCACAATAATTGTTCTGATATTCGGGGCCTGAGAGTGTGCCTGGCTCCCCTCAGGCTGCAGCGGAGTTATGGGGCGGTAAGCATTGTGGGAGTGTGACGTCAGGCCACTTTCACAAACTTTTTTTTTTTTTTCAAGCAGAGACAGTTTACTGTTTCTTGTTTTCAGAGCAGTGCTCCCAGTCAACAAGCAATTCATTCACTTAATACACCTGCAATACAAACTATACATTCTTTAGATTCGGTTTATGAAAAACATTAAATATATTTTCAAAATATTTAAATTCATTATTGCCTATAGCGGAGCCAGGGTTTGACATATTGACATGTAATATTTGGATATCGTCTTATTGATACAATCAAATTTCAATACAGCATTCGCCCTATCTCTACTTGGCTTATTTCATAATATTTTAATGTCCATACTTTTGATGCGTATTGCAGTTATTAAATATTTTTAGAAAAAATCTAAGAAATCGCAGGACTTGTGTTAATCACC